TGTGGTGAAGAAATGGTCCTCACCACCCAATCCAGTGTGAACCAAGTGTTTTCAGAAATCCGATACAGACGAATTCCTGCTAAAATAATTACACACTTTGTAAGTTTTACCCGCTTCCCTCATGCCAGGCAGGTAACGGCCGGAAGACAGAAAGGCCACACAATGGCCTGGAAGAGCTCTGGCCTCCACTGGCATCTGGGTCCCCCCACAACGCCCCCCACCCCGGTTGATTCTTATCTACTTCGTTCACTATGGTCAATCCTAGTCTGACGACCTCAAACTCATTTCCTTGGGAGTTCGGCACGGGCCATTGCCTACGGGTTAATTCTTGTCACTCCGGGCTCAGTTCCAATGCCACCTCTGAGGAGTCTTCCTGCACCATCTAACTCAGAGTAGGCAACCCAGCACCTCCCAGTCTCTTCAGATCCCGTCCCCTGGCTTTGCTACCCTCACTGCACTTTACACTGAGTTTTACTGGGTTCAAGAAATACTGTCGCACTGTCCCAGCTCACTGCAGGCCACTGGCCAGGCCGACTGGGGTGCAGCCGCCCTCCCGGAGGGCCGGAGGCAGGCAGACGGCAGGGGCTCGCGCGGACAGAGCCCCAAAGCGCAGGGACTAGGTCTCTGGACTGTCCACTGCTAAGGCCCAGCCTCGGAATAGCTCTTGGAAGGATGCAGGTGCCCGATAAAAACACGAAATTAACAGGGGGAAATGAAGACTAGTCTCGGGAAGTTCAGCTGTGACAGGAAGGAGAGATTTAGGGCTGGGTTGGGGTCAGGAGTAATGCGGCGGAGGGACAGAAAACAAAGGAGAATGAACCAACGAGCCGGACACGGCGAGTGGCCGGAATTCTTGGGGCGACATCACCACTGTGTGTGCCTGAGCCCTGAGGGGGGCACGTGGTCACTGGCGGAGGGCTGACGGGGGCGTCCAGGGAGTGGGAAACACAACAGGCAAAGCAACCAAAAGGTCGTCTTAAGCAGAAAATAATCTTTGAGATACAACATCGACTCAGTATTTTATAAAACATTTCAAAGCATATGATTTTTTAAAATTTACATCTAAGTTTCCACAAACTTCTTCCTTTTCATAGTCTACAGACTTTTAAAAACATCTGCATTTTAGTAGTTTCTCACGCTGAATAGCATCTGGCTTCCTGGTTTCCCTCTGATCCTGAGCGAGGCCGACCAGGGCGAGGGGAGGGCGGGCTGTCGCTGCGGCAGGTCTCGGAGGGAAGGCCCGCCTCCGTCAGAGGAGGAACTCTGTCTGCCCCAGGAAGGTCAGGATCCAGTCCCGGCCTTGGCAACACCACTTCCTGCGGGCAAACCACCTCACCTCTGGGGGAAAGGAGGGGTGGACTACAGACCTCTTTAGGGTCGCCACATATTTTATTGTCTAAACAAGACACTTCTGAGATTCCAAGAGAATAGGACTCTTCGGTTGGCCAGAGCAGACATGCCATCAGTCCTGGGGAAACGAGATTCCCCATCACCTGACTCAGACGCCTCGCGCCCTTTCTCCAGAGGCAGCCGCCGGCCCTTCATGCTCTCAGCTGGCTGGTGCCTGGCACAGCCCAGATGCTCACCGGGAGTTTGCCCCCGTCCTTCTGTGAGCTTTTCTGCATACTTCATGGAATCCAAGCTATCGATCTGCTCTTCGGCGACGTCACTGTCACAACTGTTGAACTGTCCTGTGCCAAGCAGCTGCGCCCTTGCTGCTGCTGAGCGTACATTTTACATGTCCCCAGGCGGCCTCTACTAAGAACACCTTTTCAAAGAAGGCGAATCTTTAGGTACAAACCCTGTTCTTTCTCAAAGAGAATGAGTAGCCAAAGGAAACACATGGCTGGTCTGGAGGTCTGCGATTACTCAAGGCCCGTGGGGCGGTGGAGACCCCGTTTTCTCAACCGGATTGCTAATGAGCCGTATGAACCATGTATAAAAGAGGCAAAACACAGAAAACATGCCCTCTCCTATACATTCTTCAACTCTTAGGAGCAAAGAAAACATGATCGATAGATCCAAACTCTGACTGCTCAAACCCAGGCAGCCAGACACAACCTGCACCTTCCCCATGCCGGCACAGAAACTATCTGCGGGACTTCTAGCACCGCTGTTTCTACAGGAAAACGCACGTGGCTGTAGTATCTTTTCCTTCGATACCAATGCGAGTCTGTGTGCTTACGAGTATTTGTCTGCTTATTTACTTTGGAACTGTCACTGAGTTGGCGGTGGGGAGAGTGAGGGAATCATTCTCTGCACCCAAGGAGACATCTGCCCCTTTGCTCTTTCTGGAATGTTCTCTTCCTATCAATTAAAGAACTACAAATATGAGTCATACCCATGAGTTTACGGGTGACACCACTAGATATTCTGAGAAAATCTCTGACGGAGGAAGTGAACATCTCTTCAGCCCGTGATAGGATCAAGGGGCAGGTGGGGCCAGAGTCCCAGGAAGGGATCCAGCCTCGGGACAAAAGGAACTGGACACGGGGGCTGACTTCCCACTCTCCGGGACGCATCTCAGACCCAGCGGGGAAGACCACGTACGTTATAAACGACACAGCCGGGAACAGCTCTGCTGACATGTTGGCGGGATACAACACCAACACCCCGCGTGAACGCCGAGAGAAGGAAAACGCAGACCACACCAGCACACTTTCACATCGTTGACTGGAAGTGATGAGAGAATAGCTCTGGTTTTGAGACTTCTCTAGAACATTCGGACAAGCACTAACCTCTAAAGTGTTTAAGATGTTTTTATCCTTAAGTCTTATAAAATCCAAAGCCCTCCTTTTAGGAGAGGTGTGTCCAAAGGAAGTCTTGCACCGTCTCCACAGGCCGAGAGGTTCAATCCCTCTTCGAGGTGAAGATATGCCTTCCTCGGCCTCAGGCTTGGACGTGTCTGTCCTGCTGGTCACCTGCACACACCAGCAATCACCACCCTCACCGAAGTGCCCTCCGCAGGCGGCAAACACAGAGGGGCCTGCCTGGGAAGGTGTCAAGAGCTTTTCAGGGGTTTCAGCACAAGAACTCTGGGACCTTTAGGAAAAGGCATTTCTTTGTCTCATAAAGAAACACATGTGTGCCTGGCCGGTGTGGCTCAGTAGCTGAGCATCAACCCACGCACCAAGAGGTCACCAGTTCGATTCCTGGTCAGGGCACATGCAGAGGTTGCGGGCCAGGTATCGATGTTCTCTCTCATCGATGTTGTTCTCTCTCTCTGCCTCGCCCTTCCTCTCTCTCTAAAATTAATAAAGAAAAAAAACAACAACATATGATGAAGCTTTTTTAAAAAAATTATTTTCCCTTTATTGATTTGAAAGAGAGAAAGGGAAAGGGAGAGATAGAAACGAGAGAGAACATCAATTGGCTGCCTCCTGCATGCCCCCAAATGGGGATGGGGCCCACATCCTGGGCATGTGTCCTGACCGGGAATCAAACCAGAGACCTCTTGGTGCCTGGGTCAATGCTCAACCTCTGAGCCACACTGGCCGGACGAAGCTCTTTTTCTTTTTTTAAAAATATTCTGACAAATCACTGAATGTATTTTTTATTGAATTTATTGGGGTGACACTGGTTAATAAAATTGTATAGGTTTCAGGCATACAATTCCACAACACATCACCTGTACACTGCACTGTGTGTTCACCACCCCGAGTCAAGTCTCCTTCCATCACCACTCATTCCCCCACCCTCCTTTTCTTGTCAATTCCCTCTGTTAACTATCAAGTTCCTCTGGAATCTTCTATTTTGGCTGTTTTCAAACCTCAAACACCTTTACCTAAACTGGACCAGTCCCTCTTGGTTTTCTCCAGCCTTTGAACAGTTATTTCTAGTCCTAGGAGATATGACATCTAGCCCAGCTGGTGTGGCTCAGTGGATTGAGCATCGTCCCATGGACTGAGAGGTCCCGGTTCAATTCCTGGTCAGGACACATGCCGGGGTTGTGAGCTCAATCTCCAACAGAGGGCATGCAGGAGGCAGCTGATGGATGTTTCTCGCTCACATCAATGTTTCTACCTCTCCCTCCCTCTCTCTAAAATCAATAAAAACATATTTAAAACAATATGTTTTAAACAATTCTTTACTTTTAAACCACTCTCTAAATATAAAATCACACCACCTAAAGTACAGCAGTCCCCTCTTATCTGCAGTTTCGCTCTCTGTAATTTCAGTTACCTATGATCAACTGCAATCTGAAAATATTAAATAAAAAATTCCGGAAATAAACAATTCATAACTTTTCAATAGCATGCTGTTCTGAGTAGCTTGAAGAAATCTCACGCTGTTCTGCTCCATCCCGCCCTGGACGTGACTGGCCCCTTTCTCCAGCATGCTCACAGCGCACACGCTCCCCGCCCGCTGGTCACCTAGAGCCCGGTCACAGGCCCACCGTGCCTAACGCTATGTCACAACGCCTACGTCTTCCACTGACTTCACTTCATCTCACACCTAGGCGCTGGGTCATTTCCCATCGTCACAAGAAAAAGGGTGAGTGAAGGTCAACAAGGTGTTCGGAGAGAGAGAGACCACATTCACATAACTTCTATTAGTGCACCATTATAACTGTTCTATTTCATTTATTATTATTGTTGTTACTCTCTTACTGTGTCTACTTTATGAATTATACTTTATCACTGGTATAGAAGTATAGGAAAAAATATACTATAGATAGGGTTCAATACTATCCATAGTTTGAGGCATCCATTGGGGGTCCTGGAACATATCCCCTGCAGATGTAGGGGGGCTACTGTACAAAGCATCCATCAGGATTCACAGAGACAAAAATAATTTCCATCTCTCAGGACTTTGGGAGGATCACGATGAAAAGATGAGCATCTGAACAAAGCAGCTAGACCAGTACTTGGCACATGATAGGTGCTCAACAAAAATAAATAGATAGTAGCCACTGTTCAGTGTTCCGGGAGCCTGTGGGCCGAGGACCGTCGGGCAGGACGCCCGGCAGGCATGCTGAAGCCCGCCCCACCCCTACTCACTGGGTTTCAGCCCCGAGCAGCATCTCCACCTTCTCGTTCGCGTGGTTGCTGAGGACCGTCAGAGTGAAGAGGTGGCTGGCGGAGTTCTGTCTCGAATAGAGCATCGTGGAACTGTTCTTCCCCGGAGAAGAAGCAAGCTCTTCGTTGTCGCAAGACTCCACCAACAGCTGGTCTCTTAAGGAATAATCATTGACGTTGTAACTTTCTTCACTGTAAGAAAAGGGGGAAAGAATGTGTCAACAATTCCGTGGATAAGACTGTCACGTGGTCATGTTTCAAGTCACATTTTGGGGGAAGGTGGTGGGGTGGGGAGCAAGGAGAAAATGATTTATTTTAACACATGAATTGGAATCTAAATTATATCTACTGATCATGAATCAATATAACCCCCCCAATGAACTCTATGAGCTACTATTTTTCTGTAATACGAAATTGTATACAAGCGTGTAAAACCCTCCAGGTTTCATTTTCTAGGGTCCTGGAACTGTGTTAAGTGACATATGCTCAAAAACGTAGGTGTACTTCCTCGGTCTTGCCTCCCTCCATCAGGAGAAGAGGGCGTCCCAAACCTACCCATGCTGTGTCACTAGGCCTCATTCCCAGCCTCCATGCCACCAGGCTCAGGAGGACAGGGGAGCCCAGAGGTCTGCTTGCTTCTGGCAAGACACCCTGCTCTCCAACAGGCACAGCCTCCCCACCTGCTTCAGAAACCTCCAGGACCAATCCCTGTCCCCCTGCTCACGCCCACTGTTCGCCATTCCCCTGGCCTCGTCTCCCCAGCACTGTGAACATGCCCCACCCGCCCCACCCGAGCTCCTCGGCGGGTTTCCCTTTCGCCATGTCCTCCGAAGATGCCCTCATTCAGGGAAGACAGCTACATCTCCTAAATCCTCAGCCTCTTCTCGAAACCCTCCCTTCACACTCTTGCCTTAACAGAAATATGACTTTCCCCAGAAGACGCCACCTCTCGGGGAGACTCTCTGTCTGCTTGCTTCTCGTTGCTGCTTCCAGACAATGTCACTTCCTCCTCCCAAAAGTCCTCAGCTCTGCAGCTCATGCCGTCCGTCGGTCTCCATCTCACAGTCAGTCACTCACTGACCCCGGGCCCCTCTTCAACCTCTCATGAGTTCGGTTGTTGGTCCCGTCTCTCCAACACTGCTTTTGAATTTCCACGTGGCAGGGCCTTCCATTGTCCTGCCTTCCTCGACTCCTTCAACGACCTTGTCCTCTGCCCTACTACAGCCACCCTCCACTTTCACACCAAAGACCTTGTCACTGCTACAGACTGCAACCTGTCTGCAACTGCGCTGTCCAACACGACTCCATCAGTTCTGCCTGTCTCTGTCCCTCTGCTCAACCCCAACAATTCCCCCCACCAGTGCCTGCAACCCAGTGCTCCACCACTTTCTCCCACTCCTAACCCTCATGTCCTCTCGTCCATGCTCGGATTTCTTGGGACCTCCTTGCATACACCCTCATCTCCTCGAAAAGTCCCAACCCCGTGTCATACAACTTTCCCTCCACTGTGAATATGTACCTTTGCCGTTGAACATGGGAGAGCTCAATAAATAACTGTTGAATTAATGGAAGACTATGCAATAAACTCGAGTATAGTCAGGAACAATATCAAATTGCTACCTTATTTAATAACAAACACAAATGTATGAACTTAGGGGAACTAAGAGAAAAGAAAAATCCTTATTCCCATTATACTAAGAATTTCAGAACAAGCCATTTGCTCAAGATTTCTTACAATTTCTTTCATTCGCTGCTGGACATCTGCCTATAAACTACTCCCTTGTAATTCCCCCTGAAAAATCGATCTTTTCTAAAATCTAGTTTGATAGATTGTCCCCTCAAAAAAAAAAAAAAAAACCAGCAAACACAGATATCACATATAAAAGCAAAATACTGCCCTCTGATCAAGCCTTTGGTTGTTAAGGTCATAATCTGCATTACTCTAAAATTCCCATGGCAAGATCATCTCCAAAGCTCTCCTGAAACTGCCTACAGACCAGCACACCACACTCAGGATACACAAAAGTGTATCTCATACAAAATGAGGCTTATCAAAGCTCACACAATTTGTACAAGAGGAGGAAAGAGGATGATATACTTTACAAACAAAACAGTTACTATGTTAAAAGACCATGCTCACCAGAAACAAAGCAGTCAGCTTTTGGAAGAGCAAAAAATGTTTATAATGTTTGCCTAGATATTTCGGACATGAATTTAATATAATAGACCAGGATTCAATATAAAACAAACAAAGAAACAAACAAACAGAAACAAACAAACAGAAACAAACAAAGGCAAAACCTCAACAAGAGAAAAAACAAGGCTTCCTGGCTATAGCACCCTCTCTGCACCTCCTAATTACTCTTGGTCCAGCTCACAAGTTAAAAAAGACTACCCATTAGCCAAAGACACTCATTTCCAGTTAAAATAATTTGCTTCACATAGAAAAATCCAAGCACCCTAATGTTGTGCACATGATTTTACGTAGTGCCCTAAATAATGAATAGGTTTCTTTTCCATTTTTAAAGAAACAGAGCCCTGGCCAGTTTGGCTCAGCAGTTGGAGCATCTGCCAGAGGACCAAAGAGTCTCCGTTAGATTACCAGTCAAGGGCACATACTTGGGTTCCAGGTTCAATCCCCAGCCCGTTGAGGTTGTGTGGGAGGCAACCAATCAATGTGTCTCTCACATCGATGTTTCTCTTTCTCCCCCCTCCCCCCATTCCCTTCCCTTCCACTCTATCTAAAAATCAATGGGAAAATATCCTCAGATGAGGATAAAAAGAGAATAAAATAGAAAACGAATGAAAAAGAAATGTACATGCTATAAAGCAAGCATTCAAGATGACTCATATTCCAAAAAGTCTTTGGCATAAAGTGCTTTAACCTATGAGGAAGCCCCTAGTAGAATTCAAGACCAAGAGTTCACAGGAAACTAATGTAAATAAATATGAATAAACTCCCTAAATCATTTTTTTACCTCTTAATTTTTAGTTTCAATTTTCCCCCACGTTTGCCTAAATGCAAATTATACCAGCTATTGTGTTTCATCCCTGCTTTGAATCGTTGTCTCTGAGGGTAATTAGAGATAGAAGAAGTAGACAAGTTATAATAGAAGGTTCTTCATTGTTCTCTTAGCGATAACAACTACAAGGCCATTAAGAGCTAGGGTGACGGTTGATTCGGTTTCGGCCTGATCTCTCAAATGTCTAGTCTGGAAGATGAACTACGCCCCTTTGTTCACAGCTGTGAGAGTGCACCTCCAGGCGTCCGGCTCTGCACATCTGTGTCACTGAGTGTGCCTGAAAAGGGGACTCTCCCACTGTTTTGACTTCTGAGTCCAAAATAGGAAGCAGGAAATGTTTGCCTTGTTTTGTTTTTGTTTTTTAACTTATTCAATAGCAATCACCCAATATCATTATTTTATCTAGACCTGTAAACTTCGTCACATAAATAACATTTACAAATTCTTCACTGCTCTTTTATTTCATTTAATTTAAAAAGAACTTGCTTTCATTTCACAGTAGTAAATTATGTATCCTTGTCTGCTATTATACAAACTCAATAAAACAAATATTGAAAAGTAGCAGCTCACTCTTGCTAGCCTGTTCATTGTGCATGCACGTACGTACACACGTGTACACACACACACACACACACACACACTCCCAAAGGTTCAAAACAACCACATTTTCCCTCTCCAGATCGGCTAAATACTGAAATTCCACTTCCTAGTGTCAGTCAGCACCCACTATCTCTCATGCTGATACAGAGGACAAAATATGTGTTAAAACATGTGTTTAAGCAGAAGGAAGAGGGGAGAATCAACAGCCAGATGCAGCTACCTCCAGCCCCGACCCCCTCCTCTGCTTGCTCACCCTTGTCCAGTAAGCATTCCGAACACAGGCCGAGCCGGGCTGGGAAAGAAACCCCTTTCCTGAGGGCAGCTGATGTGCTCAGACTTCCCCATGTTTGTCTCCAGCGCTCAGCAAACATATGGTTTACACAGTCTCTGGAACAATTTGGATCATGTAATTAGGAAGTGAAATTGCTCAGAAAAAGGCAAATGGAAAAACCACCTTGCCTCGCATGCAGACGTTTACATGCAGACTTCCTCTGATTGTCTGAGATGTGCTCCAATCACCAGCTGCTCGGCAGGGCGGTCTGCTCTGTGCGAGCGGGGCGCCCATCGGGTGCAGCGATCGGGTCGATACGTCTGTGGCTCTGTGCTGTAAACAAGGACGGTTTCCCGGGCAGAACCCACTTCCATCCAGCAACCTTTGTTGAGAATCCTTTCACAGGATACGGGGGTGAATACTCACCCCGATGACTCTTCCTCTGGGAAGGCCTTCTTTTATAAAGCAGCTCAGAACCAGTTTCTGGTTCTACTAAACGCGAACTAACAGCACGGGTTGAACAACGATACACCTTATGGTGAACCGTGGTTTTCTTACAGCGAGTATTATAGAGCGCTTTCGGCCTTCTGTCCCATACGTTTCTATAGAGGTTACAATTTCCCATAACGGGCATATAGCTATTACTTTTGAATCAGGACATCTGAAAAGTGCATACAACATACATTTTAAAACATCAAGTACAGCCCTGGCCGGTTTTGCTCAGTGGTTAGAGCGTCAGCCTGCGGTCCACAGAGACCTGGGTTCGGTTCCCGCTAAGGGCATGTACCTTGGCTGCAGTTTGTCCCTGGCCCTGGTTGGGTCATGTGGGTGGCGGCCACTCGATGTGTCCCTTTCACATCGATGTTTCTCTCTCTTCCTCTCTCTCCTTCCCGCTCTATCTGAGTAAAAAATGGAAAAATATCCTCGGGTGAGGATAAAAAAAAAAAAATACATCAAGTACATATATACGTATGTGCATAGGCCCACGTACATATATTCGGGAGGGAGTGTAGGATGATAGCCACCAACTCGGCCCACGAGCTACCCCGCGGAGGAGGAGGACGGAGACGGAACAATGGGGAAGCGCCTTTAGGGTCACCTGCAGTGTTACACCACGCTTCTTGTTTAAAAATGCAGACAACTGATAAGTATGGCAAAAAGTTAGTATCTGTTAAATGTGGATGATAGGTATATTAGTGTTTGATCATTTTCTGTACGTTTGAAACATTTCACAACTCAAAGTACAAATAAATTAAAAAATAATAAATGTGTAGATGTGAAGACGACCATCATTCCAG